TTCCCAAAATACAGGGAAAAAATATGGTAGAGGTTTCTTTTTCTGGGTTTGGTGATGCTGTGGTAGTGTCGAAACTTGTAATTAGTTGTCATTTCTTATCTCACTCTAAATAAATCTTCACTTCAGTGCCATATTTTGTATTTATAATTTTCTATTCCTTGCCCTTAAAATGGCTCTCTCAGCAGTACAGGCTTGGGGTGCACACCCTGGCTGGGTCCCGGGGACTGTCCCTCCCCACGAGCGCAGTGGGGAGGCAGGGAGACAGGGAGGCCAAGCCCCCTGCGCTGTGCATGCCCATCTCCTCACTGCTACCTGTCTCCAGGGCTCCCTGAGAGTGAGGCTGCTCATAGAAGGGGGCACTGTTTATAATTTGCCAAGAATGTCCCAGGTGAAGTGATGTATATGCAAGCCCCATCTGTGCTATTACCTATGTATTTTAAAATTAAGGTGTGTTTGTTTGTTTTAGACATCATGCTAATGCATGCTTAACAGACTAGAGTGTAAGCATGACTTTTATATGTCCTGGGAAACCAAACGATTCATTTGACTCACTTTATTGTGCAATTCACCTTGTAAAAGCAGTTGTCTGGAACCCAACCTGTAATATCTCTGAGGTATGGCTGGATACACATACATACTATATGCCTATGAGGAGAGCATGTTGTGTAGACAGATCTGTATCTCTAGATACCTACATAGATGTGGATGTATAGATAGATATTTACATACAGATTGGTCCATAATCCACACACTTGGATATGTAGACCATGTTTTCTCTAAACCAGCTTAATTTTCATTTCAGGCACCCCATCACTGCAGCTGGGAGGATACCGGACTTCTTTTTGAGATATCCCACCCCACATCGGGGCATGCTACAGAACTCCACACTGTGTCAAGCTGTCCACAGAAGTTACCTCTGAGAGGCCTACCATCTCTTCCTTCCTGGTGGAGACCAGGTCATGAGGAACTTCCCACACTACCAATAGCCCACATGCCAGATACACTGTGCCATGGCTTCCCTTGGGAATGTTGCCCATCCCCTGGGTGGCACTGCAGTAAAGCTAGAGCAACTGTTCTCCCCTTCCCCCTGCTCCCAGGACTAGGGGATCCTCATTTTTCTGCTAGAGAAGGTATCCTTCTCTCTTTAAATTCCAGCTAAGGCATTCTCTCAAAGCCTGAGAATCTACTTTCATTTCATTTCTCTGAAAGTCATATCACTTCCCCCAAGGGCTTTGGTCTTCAAAATCTCAAAACCAGAGAGTTCATTACAGGTGGGTTTTGCCCTGTAAAACCTCCTCCTCAGAGGTTAGGAGCAATTGGTTGGCCAAAGAGAGAAATATGAGAGAAAACAAATTCTCAAAATACAGCCGTGGTCAAGTAGTGCCTGCCATATAGAAGAGGTTCGGTAACTGCTAGGCCCTTTCTCTTTGAAGTGGTGTCATCATGACTAGGACATCCTGGTTCGGCCCAAACCACCGACACTCTTCATGTGGGCCAAAGGGAAGGAGTCAACTATTATGATGGAGCCATAGAACTGGACGATTTCTGGGAGAAGCAGTTTAAGAATAACAATGAGGGAGAGGATCTGGTGAGTCATTTGCTAAAGGGGATAAGAGAGGCAGAATTACCATGAAGGTAACAAGGTAGGTTTCTGCCACAAATCTGGGGAAGAGAGCCAAGAGTACACTATCTGAAGGTCAGAGACTAAACACTAATATAACAGGAAGATACCTCAGAGACCAGCTAGCTAGTCAACCAATCATCTGCCCCCTCATTACCGATTAACAGGCTAGGGTTGAAATCACTTGCCTAAAATACATTTAACTTAGTTGCAGGATTTTTAGCACCACTGAGTGGCTTTCTACTACCACCCTGCTCTATTGTCACTTCATGACAGAATAAAGACGATAGAAGTCAGTTAGACCCAGGTCCAAATCTTGACTCCCAGAGCCTCTTACTTAACTCAAGCCTCTACTCCTTTATAAGATGGGACTAATAATCCTCATCTATTATAATTCTGGGTGGTTGTGAATTTTATTTTTTTAATTTTTTTTCAAGATTTTATTTATTCATGAGAGGCATACACAGAGAGAGGCAGAGACACAGGCAGCGGGAGAAGCAGGCTCCATGCAGGGAGCCTGATGTGGGACTCCATCCTGGGTCTCCAGGATCACACCCTGGGCTGTAGGCAGTGCTAAACTGCTGAGCCACCCGGGCTGCCCTGTTGTGAATTTTATATGAAATGCTAAAGAACCTAGCACAGTGTCAGCAATAGCAGTTGCTCATTTTAGACTGATATTCAAATTTTTTGGTAGGAACACAGTCTTGACTCTTCTCTTGGCTTCCAGTTCTCCCAGTACAACACATTTTTTATTTTATTTTTTAGATTTTTATTTATTTATTCATGAGAGACAAGGAGAGAGGCAGAGACACAGGCAGAGGGAGAAGCAGGCTTTGTGCAGGGAGCCCAATATGGGGCTCAATCCCAGGACCCCTCAGATCACGACCTGAGCCAAAGGTCCTGAGCTCAACCACTGAGCCACCCAAGCATCCTGCAATACAGCACATTTTGATACAAAAATCTTCACATATTCTATTTTCTCTGTTTAAAAAAGAACACATGGCAAAGATTTTATTTATTTAAATCATCAGCTATTGGGGGAAACAGTAAGATGTGAAACTCAATACAAAGCCAACTGCAGAGGACAGACATATATAAGCTCAAGCAGAATGCTAACAGGTGCAAGCTGGCACTTCCAGGCACAGTGATGAGCGGCCATCTCCACCTGATGTTGCACTTCTCTCCCCACTTCCCCCTCCTTCTACTACTTTTCTTACTCATTTTTCTTGGAACGAGCTTTATTGAGATCTCATTCACATACCTAATTTATATAGATATACAGTATTATAATTCAACTACTTATAATGCACAGTTCAACAACTTTCAGTATATTTAGAATTGTGCAACCATGACCACAATCAATTTTAAACATTTTAATCACCCCAAAAGCAACCTTGTATCCCTGACCTATAACCCCCTAACCTCCCCATCCCCTGCCCTGACACAGCCATTGGCAGCACTTAGTCCACTTTCTGTATATATTTATCCATTCTGGACCTTTCATATAGATGAGATCATATAAGTGGCCTTTTGTGATTGGCTACTTTCGTCAGAATGTTTTCAAGGTTCATCCATATTGTAGCATGCATCGGTACTTCCTTTCTTTTTATGGCCAAATAACTTTCCATTGCAGAGCCCACTTTTATCTTATAGTGCCTGTGCTCCTAGTGTGCTTTTTCTCTTAAGATGTAAAACATGGAAAACTTGTGAGGTCTAATGGGTTAGAATGTTCCATTTCTCTTGAGAATGGATCCTTGATGCTGTCAGTTTCCTCATCCAAGCCACAGGCTCCCAACAAGCTTGGATTCTGGTTGTTTTCCTGAAATTTCTATCTGCTTCCAAATGGGTTAGCACAACCTGGTGAGAAGGATTTCTCACCTGGCCCCTGGCCCAGTCACCACTATGGCAGCCACGGAACACTTCCGTGAACACCAGCTCTAGAAAAACCTAAAAAAGGAGTTCCCAGAGACTACCAGCCAAATGGTAGGGTCTGATGTGGTAGCCAGAGGGATCTGGTCTGGGAGTATGAGCTTAGAAATGTAATGAGAAAATCAGGTAGTTTTCCCTCTTCTAACCCTCTTGGCTGTGCTGAGCTGGCTGTCAGAGTGAAGTCTGCCTCTGTAGGTCCCGCCCTTCCTGGCCCTTTCCCCCAGCACTGCAGCACCCTGTGATCTGCAGGGATGTTGTTTCTCCTTCAGAGAAGGGAGAATCTTAGTAGACCACTTACTTCTCACTGCCAGTAACCCAGTCCCAATAGGTGTTAGGCACTTAGTACATATTGTTGAATAGACCTATAATCGGGGCTAATCACAAAGGACAAGGTGTTAGAATACAGTGAAGAGAAGGTTTTACAGAACAAAGAATCAGAGAAGGCTTTCTGGAGAAAAAGAGGAAGGGGAGCCATTTCATGGCCACAGATCACATGGACTAGACTCCACTTGGGATGCAGAGAATGACAACAATGCTCTCATTCTGCAGATTGGAAGACAGAGACACATATTTTAGCTATTGAGGGATGTGTCTGGAACCCAAGCTTCTAAGTCTAGTTCCCTTGTCAAAAGTTCAGGTCCTGACAGGCAGAGAGATCACAAGCAAGCCAAGGGCAGAGTTGGGAAGCGAAACACTACAGATGTTTGAAAGTACAGGATCTGTTCAGGAAATAAAGATTATCTTAGTGATTTAGAAGGAAGAAATATGTGTATATGCAGGGGGGAAAGGGAAGAGAAAGATGCAAGGGCCTGGCAGTACCCTGTACTGGGGCCCAGTCAAGTGGTTGGTAGGCCTCTGAAGAAGGGAGGGGAGGGGGCAGTGCGTCAGCAGGAAGGAAGGAGCAAGAGAGGCAGCGAGAAGCTCCAGACTGTAAGGCACTCGTGGGACAATCTGTATCAGGTATACACAGACACATAAGGACCAGATTATGAAAAGCCTCCAAGGGTCAAGATAAGGAACAGAATGTTGAACAGTAATAGGGAGACATTCAAGGCTCTAGGGTGTGGGTGACACAATGAAAGAAAATGAATCGAAATGGATGGTTCTCAAGTTCAGGATGTCCAAGATATTTTAAATTTCTTCTTTGTTCCCTAAATATATCACTGTCATAAAGCCTTCTAATGATTCCAGGACAGCTAGAAATAAAGGCCTTGTGTGCACATATTACATTAAGCTAAGAGAATGAGATTTACAAAAATCTGCTAAGAAAATGTTTTCTTCTTGAGTCAAAATACTGTGAAGTCTTACGATTATCACATATTAATTAGAATTGAAGGAATTCCTTGTTTTGCTAAGCCTTGGAAAATGGTGTATAAATAGTTACTTGGTAAACTGATGGAGTATTAACAGTCCAGATGGTAGAATAAAATGTACAATCATTGTATAAAGTTCCAGAAACACTTTATTTAAAAATGGAGTTGTAAATGCATAACAAAATAACATAAGTAATAAATGTAACAAAAATAAATAAGGAGGAAATGTATTCATACAAAATAAAAATAACATAGTAAAAGGCCAAATGTTTATAATTGAACAAAACGGTGTAAACACTTAAAGGATAATGTAAGTAGAGTAGATGCTAATATTTTCCTAAACAACTCCTTACCTTCTACTTCCATGGGGATATAATCAGTACCCAAACATTAAATAAAAGAGAGAGCGATGGTGATTATTTTGTTTGACTTTTTCTTCAAATGGACCCTGTTTTAATGTTTCACTTACTCCTTCAAAGCATCTTTGTATCATTCCATTCATGTTCTTTAAAACTTTTTTTCAGTCTTCCTTTATTAGATAGAATGGAGAAGTTTTAGCTTTACAAGGAGAAGAGTTCATTTACCTTTTTTTTAATTTAAAGAAAAATATGAGATTCATTATACAACAGTCTTTTGTTTTTTACATCTCTACAAAAAGGGTTTTTTTGTGGGTTTTCTTTTTTTTCTTTTTTTTTTTGCATCTCTATTAACTGGCCCAACATTACAGGAGTTTTTAAATCTTGTAAAGTTTTGATACGTCCAGAGTTAGTCTCTTGCAACCAATGTAGTACAGGATTATTGCTGAAATACTAAAGACCATTTGTAAAAGTTGCAAAAACTGCAGTATTAATCTTTATAGACTGATAGGGTCAAGGGGGAAATCCAAGTCTACTAAGTAATATTTAAAGGAATTAAGATTCGCCCAAATTATAGTGTTCTGGAAACACAAAGATAATGACTTTCTTTTAAAACTTATCCAAATGTGAACTTACTGGAAGGAGAAAACACAAGTTTACAGAAGGTACTTTTCCACAGGCTTCCTGTTTAGTGGCATAGGCCCGAGCCTTCATCATTATGGTCTCGCAGGGTCCTTCTAAATGTGTAAGACGGACAGGATTTACTAGTGGGTCCTACTGGGGAACACACAGAAGCAGTTCATTGCTTGGGAGTGAAACTATCCACTAATCTTATGACTACTGGTTCTCCAAGTCTCCTAAAAAAGCAAATCTTAACCTCATGATCATCTCAAGGGGATTTTTTTTCAACTGTCACATATAAACTTGGTAACACAGGACCAATATACATGTTTTCAGTTTAAAAAATATACTCCACCTAAACAGTCTAATCTGTCTACTTATCATCTGCCCTAAAATGAGACAAAAATCTTACTTCCGTTAAAAAAATTTTTGAAAAAAGTGCCAAATTGAGCATTTTGAAAGTGGAGTAAAACACCAAGGGGTTAAAACAAATACAGTATTATCAATATCCTATATACAAAAAAGACGGTTAGTCCTTCCTTATTGATATACAGCTATGTCCACCTACCACTCCCGGCAAATCTTAGTGCAAACATAATAGTTCATCTCCGTAAACCCCAAGACAATTTACGTAGCAACAAAGTTATATAAATCACATATATGCTGGAAAATTTCAGAACACAAGAACGACTGTTTTGAAAGGTCAGGACTGTGGAGAGTAATATGTCATTGTATCCAATGGTAATGAATACTAATATAAATCCTATTATTAAGAAGTAAATATAAGCGTTTAACAAATCTGTACAGATGAAGAGGAAGTCCATTTCGGGAGCAGCTTGGCACAGAAGACATGGGGGTCAGAAATGTTGGGTATTTAATTTGCTTGTAGGTCACAGCATGGCTTAAAGAAAAAAAACAAAGATCTATGAAGGGAAAGGATGCAATGAGAGAATTCAATTTGAAAATCATAAAACCACAAAAGGCGAAACTGCCACAATCTGCTTTTTTCCTATATGTGCATCACGTAGTTTTCTAATGGTCTGAAGGATTAATAGGATACCACATTATAGGTAAAAAATAAATAAATAAAATTAAGAAGACAGAGAGAACAAGATTGTAGCTGATCAAGCGATCTTGTTTTGTTAAGTCAACACTATGCTGCTTCCAGTATTCCTAGTCATCCACAGGTACTGGTTTTTAACCATCGAGAGAAAGTCACTCATGTACTGTAACGTCTTCTTCTTCCCCATCAGGGTTGAACCTATTGAAATGGATACTGAAATCAGCCTCAGACTCGGCATTCTCAAATTCAGCTGACACTGAGATAGCAGCAGGATGGGGAACCCTAGCTTCTGGCGGGCAAAGTGTCGGTGTCTGACCCGGGCTGCTGTGGTTATTCACGGGAGACTTCTGTTTTGGTGGAGATGGCAAGATAGCGCTGGGGAATCCCATGTTGTTCAAAGCCTCCAGAGTTCCATCTGGGTCAATCATCGCATTGATTGCTGAAGGGAAAACAAGAATATGGGGGAAAAAAGATAATTGTAGATGCAGTTAAATTTGGATGTAAACAGTGCTTATGACTTGGATAATATTTCAACTACTGATGCTTGTATGAGCTTAAATTTGGCTAATCCTTTTTTTTTTTTAAGATTTTATTTATTTATTCATGACAGAGAGAGAGAGAGAGAGAGAGAGAGAGAGAGAGAAAGAAAGAGAGGCAGAGGCACAAGCAGAGGGAGAAGCAGGCTCTATGCAGGGAGCCCAACCGTGGGACTCGATCCCGGGTCTCTAGGATCAGGCCCTGAGCCGATGGCGGTGCTAAACCGCTGAGCCATCTGGGCTGCCCCTGGCTAATCCTTTTGATACTGTATTTAAAACTCATTTTTAATAATTCTGGGCCTGACCTCTATTGTAGATTATATGGACCTGAATGCTTTCTCTGGTGCCCTGAATAGGCTCACATATAGGCCTTTTGGAGTCTGCTGAAAGACTAAGATTTGAAGATGTAAAATTTGAGAAAGATCTTTTTGAAATTTGCTTTCATCATTGTAAGATAGGGAAAACACCAGGTGGACTTTAATGAGACTCATAGCTGTAATTACCACTCAGATAAGTGGAGATTCACCGCTAAGAAGGGGGTCAGAGTAACTGAAGTTTGGGGAGGCTTGGAGAACATCAACACGCTTTGAAGGCTACCACAAAATGTTCATCCTGGTAAGAGTGTGGGGTCATCAGCCGTGTGTGTGTGTGCCACTGAGCCACAGGGATGCCCTCAGAACCTAGATACAAATACCCCATGGTGGCTCCAGCAGGCCATAGAGACCTGCTACTCCACGGGAGGAGCCAGTGAAAGCACAGCTTTCAGTCCAAAAGATCCTTGAGAGACTGGACAAGCAAAAATCTTAGGCAGTGATTTTCAACTTGGCATCAGGTAGAGTGGGGAGATGGCAGAAGGAAGTGCCTTTGATACAGGAATCACTCAAGTATACTCCTGCTCTACCAGCTAATACTCACTGTGTTATTAGCAAGACACTTTTCCCCATTGGGTAAAACATAACCCTTCAGTGTATGGAGGCTGACCAGATATTAAGAATCACTTAGCTAGGGCCCACTTATTAAGCCTTTGATAATTCAAGCAACAAAGACTGAGTAGTTGACTCTGGAAGCTGCTTTTGTACCACTGCAGACTTTTAGTTCAAGACACACACAGGCATTAATGCCTGAGTAAGATCTGCCACATATAGAAATAATGGCCCTGTCAAAGTACAGGAAGAAGGCAAACAGAGTCTCTTTTTTTTTTCTCCTTCCTTTTCTGCTCCCTTTGGCCAATATACACTCTTCTGTGGTTTACCCAAACAACTGTTATTTGTATCAGAATACAAGTTCATTTGGATTACATCATAAATGTAACTTGAGATGTCAAATTGAATAAACAATGCCAGCTGTTAATAAGCATCCTGAGCTGCATACATACATTTTAATACATTATTTTACGTATTTTTCATATATTAGAGAGAGAGAGAGTACACAAGCAGGGGGAAGGGCAGAGAAGAAGTTCTCAAGCAGACTAAGTGCTCAGTGCAGAGCTTGACATAAGGCTCGACTCCATGATCCTGAGGTTGTGACCTGAACTAAAATCAAGTGCTGAACACTTAACGGACTGGGCCACCCAGGCACTCCTATTCAAACTGGGTTTTAAAACTTCCTCCTTATAAGTGATTTGAATATGTAGAACTTATTTTTATCCACATGTTGTTATATTTAACCAATCACTCTGTAGCAATGAGAATATTTTAAGAGATACCACTTAGAATGAATGTACTTGTCTGAAATCATAAGCTCTTCCTACTTAATTCAGTAGTAAATGTACCTTGTAGCTGCTTTTCAACTCTTTTTAGCTCCTGTAATATAGAAGAAATCTCCTGTAGGGAAAGCAATGACAAAAATTAGTTTACTGTAAATAAGGCACTTTTATTTGATAAGCAGTGAATCTCCCACTCCTCTTATTTGGAATACTTAATATCAATTTTATCTCAATGATGAGATTCAAAATTTAAAGTCTTTAATGTTTAATTATTTTTTCAATGAGATAATGATAAAAGATGAAAGGTTTAAGATAATACTATCGTATAAGCAAAGATTTTGAAAAACTTGCATTGATCAACCCTATAACAATTTGGAAAGTGCGTAAAGATTTTCTTTGAAAAATACATGAACTGTGATCTCAGTTTTAGGACAACTCCCTGAGCCACGAAAACCTGTACAGATTCTTAAGAAGGAGTTGAGCAATCTACTGAGTTAAAGGAAATGATCCATGTCCACTTCTCTTTGAGTTCAGCTTTTATTTCAAACTATTTATAGTGTGTAATTATTATAAGAACAATAATGTATTAGTGAGAAACATAAAGAAAGTTCCTCCTTCATATTGTCTGCAACTTTGAAGCAATCATTTTAAACCCCTGTGAGAGACAGCTGAAGGCATAAAACTTGCCAAATCTGTGCCAAATCTTTTTAAAATCTAAATCAACAAACACTTCAAAAATAAGCACACTGTTCCTTTAAAATAAACCTGTCTATTAAAATGTTTTAATGTTCAAGATAAATTATCATACCATGCTTGAGGTTTTCACAATAGGGACTTCACTCTCAGCTCTTAACTTGCTTTCTATTTCATCCCAGTTCCGATCCTTATCTTTAAATAATATTCTAGAAATCAGAAAACATAAGCATTTTACTTTCCATGTTTTAAAAACCTGTCATATGTTTAACAATGATACCAAAACAATGTATTTTTTCAAAGCTACACAAGGATAAAGAAACCACTAAACATTACACAAATGAAAATAAAGTACTGAACCAGTATTACCAATAAACTCATTTATGTGAGAAATCTGTATTAAAAAAGTGAGTGGTTATGAATACACACATAAATCCTTTCATACTTATTCCATCTATTACTGAAACCCAAATATAAAACAAATGTAGATGAGATAGCCCCCACATTTTATCTAATATTTGTAATTAACCATAAAATGAGCACTTACTAAAACACAACTTTGTTCAGATGGAGCATATGCAGTATAAACATAAGATGAAAATAGACTGAATTAGGTATGATCAATTATTGATTAAAAGGCTGAAAATTGGAGTACTCACTGTGCTTTTCCTTAAAAATCTTAACTCATGTTAGTATATTTGTGTTATAATAACCAATAGGAGTTAAGACACTATCCTTTTGATAAAAACAACTGCCAATAAAAATAATTATCCTTACATTAGAAGCTAAACTCAAATATCTTTTTTTTTAATTATTATTTAATTATTTATTTATTTATTTATTATTTATTTATTTATTTATTTATTTATTTATTTATGATAGTCACACACACAGAGAGAGAGAGAGAGAGGCAGAGACACAGGCAGAGGGAGAAGCAGGCTCCATGCACCGGGAGCCCGATGTGGGATTCGATCTCGGGTCTCCAGGATCGCGCCCTGGGCCAAAGGCAGGCGCTAAACCGCTGCGCCACCCAGGGATCCCTAAACTCAAATATCTTAACTTATAAAAAAAGTATTACAAAGTTTTGATTTGTCTTCCAAAAGTAGTTATCCTCGATATGACTTGGCAGTTTGAGAGATATAAATAATAGGCATCTTTCTGGTTTCTTTTAAAATTTCTTTATTGAGCCTTAAATAGCCTGGAAATTTATTTATTTATTTATTTATTTATTTATTTATTTATTTATTTATTTATTTATGATTTTATTTATTTACTCATGATAGTCACACATACACACAGAGAGAGAGAGGCAGAGACAGGCAGAGGGAGAAGCAGGCTCCATATAGGGAGCCTGACGTGGGACTCGATCCTGGGTCTCCAGGATCACTCCCTGGGCCAAAGGCAGGCGCTAAACCGCTGTGCCACCCAGGGATCCCAATAGCCTGGAAATTTAATTCAATTGCCTTATATAAACATGAACACTAACAGGTAAGTAAATTTTTACTACTAGAAGCTGATCAGTTTTTAAGTAGTACACTAAATTATATTATTTGTATTTCTTTAAAGATCAAAATGCCTTACTTTTAACTTAAGTTTGAAAAACATGAAATTCATCAACATCAAATTAAGTCCAGAACATCTGCAATTATACATCTCCATTCCTTAAAGGGCAATAATAATTCTAGAAACTGATATAAGAATATTCTTCTGTGAAATTTTTGAAACAGGAAAAACTAGTAAACCTCCTTGCCAGCTGTCTAAGAGCTGTTACTGTTATGACCATGACATGAAGGCATGTAAGTAAATTATGTGGTTTGTAAGTCACTGGCAGCATCAGACTGTCATCATAGTTCTGAAATGAGAATGGACTTGTATATAATACAGCAAGTCTGCGCTAAAAACCCAGTGAAGTCTGCCTGAATTTGGCTACCGGATCTAATGCTTAGGCTTCTCAAACTGTTAAAGGATATATAAATCACCTTTGCTGAACATGGCTCAGGATGGTCACCTGAGGTTGCTGACTCACTTGAAAAGCCCCCCGGACCTCCAAGCCACTGAAGAGATAAGAAACTTACTTTAAAAAGATGATGTGTGAGTATGGTGCTATGGATTTAAGAAACCAAATTTAGCATTTTGACTTTAGGAAGTAGGCTCAAATATACTATTTAAATACTAAGGAATCAGAAAACTAGATCAAGGTCATGACTTTAGACCAGGCCATAATGGCTAGAACTTAGCTGTCTTTGTTTAAAGGTCACTATAGATCTTTCAGAAAAAAATTCATGGCTTTTGAGTGATCTTATCACATTATGGATGTAAAATAGTAGTCAGACTAAATGTTAACATGGAAAACACAGTAAAAATGCTAAGGATAACTTTTTTCAGATAACTATTTAGCTAAATACTCATTTCGATAAAGCAATTGGTTTTAGAATAAAGTCTCCAGTTCATATTTTAAGACCTTTACTATCTATTCTCTGGCCCATCCCCCAACACATGCAAATCAGGGTTACAAACTGGTAGTGCATATAGAGAGGGCCGTGCTACACAGCTTCAGAGGGTCACGTTCACATAGAATACCATGAGAATGCTGTAAAACAGTTTTTGTATAAATATTTCCAATTGTGCCCATAGAAAGTATGGGGGCAATTTAAATAGGCGCATACTGTTAGGATCAGCTAGGCATCTGAGTTTGTAACTCCTGGCACAAAACTTAAGGACCAGTCATTTCCCAAACTACCCTGATACTCCATCCAAAGGGCTCAGGCTCTCTTCCTTAGATGTGCTGATTAAAATACCCACCTTTGAATGAAACCCTCTATACAGCCTACCCTCACTGTCCTAGGTCAAAGTGACCCTTCGTCTGCCTTTACCTCTAACTAACTGGGCACCGATCTAGCACAGACTACCTTGTACAGTAATTGCCTATATGCTTCGCCTTGCTGGCCAGATTGTAAACCTTGTAAGGATGGCATGATGTTCTATCTTCCTGGTTATCTTCCAGAGAGCCTGTTATAGTGCTTTACAAATAGTAAAATTTAATGCTCACAGTGTCAAATTTCTGAGACAGTAGAGTTAACCAATGAATGTGTTCTTTGGTCTCAATTTTAATTAAATGTCAAAGGGACAAAGTATTTTTTTGGAGAAAACTAGGGATGAGTTCAGTGTGGACTGAGGAATAGTCAACAGGAAGAGAGAATGGTATCAGTCAGACGTGCTATGAGAATGTACTGGATGAATAAATGAGCAGATGGGGACCCAGTTAGTGTGGGAGGAGGACTTGTATTTCAGTAGGTAGTAGGTGAGGAGACGTCAAAGTTTTCCAGCTGGCAGGTCACATGACCATATAATGAGACTTACAGGTACTTCTATGGATAACATCGGGATATCAAGGGAGCCCATATTTAACATATTAGCCTTCCACAGCTTTTTAGATAAAGTGCAAACTCTTGAGTGACACTTACCTCTCCAGTGTCAACTCTCATCACCTCCTAGCCCTCTTACTTTAACCCAGCTTTTGACTATCTAATACCATGCAAAATCTAGCTATATGGGAACTGGAAGATAAAGCAAACTGCTTTTATGTAGTGTATTTATTTTTTAATAGTAGTTTAAAACACTTTTATGTGGGGTTTTTTTTTTTTAAAGAACACCTTAAACAATATTTTTAAAAGATACTTTTGAAATAGTTTTGGAAAAAAATTATCTAAACGATTTCTCTTAAATAGACAGCCATACAATTAAATAACATTATGTTCAAATCAATGTGTTTTTACCATGATTAGATCCTCATCAAACACTAATGACCAATTATTTCAACATATAAGCAATATAAAATTGTATTTGATTCTTTCTAAATTAAAAAATGTGTACATTTTGGGACACCTGGGTGGCTCAGTGGTTGAGCATCTGCCTTTGCTCAGGGCATGATCCTGGGGACCTGAGATTGAGTCCTGCATGGGACTCTACACATGGAGCCTGCTTCTCCTGCTTCTCCCTCTGCCTATGTCTCTGCCTCTCTCTGTGTCTCTTATGAATAATAAATATTTTTTAAAAATGTGTGCATTTTAAGGTTTGCATTTGATTTTAAAGAAACTAAATTAGTTGCATGCTATTTATGAATATCACATTCTGTAGTTTCTGACTGGGCTTATAAATGAGCCTACTGTTGATGTTTTTAAGATTTTACTTATTTATTCATGAGAGACAGAGAGGCAGAGACATAGGCAGAGGGAGAAGCAGGCTCCCTGTGGGGAGCCTGATGTGGGACTCGATCCCAGGACCCCAGGATCATGACCTGAGCCAAAGGCAGATGCTCAACCACTGAGCCACCCATGTGCCCTGAGCCTACTGTTTTTATTTTCATCATACTTGGTGATTAAGCAATCAGTACTCTACTATCATCTTAGGTGTGTTTCCCAGCAACTACAAAACTTCCAAGTCTGCTGATCCTACCTTCTTCTCTCATAGGTCACAGAGTTCCCCTTTGCCATGACAACCCGTCCTCCTATGAGTTGCCAATATAGCATGTAGCCAGAAAATGAAGTCCATTCAATGAAATTTGTAGGAAAAAAAAAACCCTAAGCCTAACTAATAAGTTATTATACAATAACTAACAAATGTATAGGGTCTAATCACATGCCTACTTACTAATACCAGAAATCACGCATGCCTGAAGTTTGCTTCAAGTACGCAATGCAGTTGAAGTTGATGAAATTGTTATTTTGAATATAATTCCACTAAAATTATATTCTAAAACCAGGACATACTGGAAGGATTATTAACCAAAGGAATAAATAAATGAAATAATGCTAATTAAAAGACTCTTAAAAAATAAAAAAAAATTAAAAAAAAATAAAAGACTCTTATATGGGAATGAAGTCTTCAAATTTCATCGGATTGAATGATTTTTGACTGCATATTATTTGTCCATCACAGTTCTGATGCCCTCACGATTGAGTGCACAAGGCAGGCGAGTGAGCAGGTATTCTGAGTCTGACAGGATTATGTACCGTCTTCTTTACTGATGAGGAAGATGAAAACTAGCCTTAAGTTTCATGTCTTATGAAAGAAGCCCAAAAGGTCTGTTAATTTAAAATACTTCACTATTATTTTGTGGAGGAGTAAATTGTACCTGGTTATTAACAAAACTAATCTAAGTAATTATAGCTGTTAACTCTCCATTATAAAGGGGTGATTACTTAGGACATTTATTTCCCTTTCTGCCCCCTTCATGTGGTCTAGCTTCTGGCTATTACTTATAGCTTCTGGCTATTATGAAAAAGAGAAGGAACGTGACAGTGGCAGGTGTAAGTTCAGTGCCACGGCCTTCACTCGTTCCTCTCAGCTGTAGGTGGCAGCAAGTGAGCACAGCACGGAACAGGTGTCTCCTAACAATATAAGCCAGAAGGTTTGAGTAACAGAACAGTACCTGATCTTTCCAGCTGTTTTATCTATAGACTGTCTTATCTTCCTAGAAAACTGAAAGACGGATGACAGCAGCAGATTATCTCCCATGACCTGAAACATCCAAAGAAAATAAATTAAAATATTATCACTGTATTGTATAAACACCAAGAACACTACTCACAGCTTACTATATTTAGGGGGATTTAGTATTTATGCTAATTTTAATTAAAAAAATCAATGAGGAATATCATTTGAGTTATGTATAACTAAATTGAGAAAGAGAAATAAATAATGATAAAGGAGTTCCTTTTCAAAAAATAACTCATTTGGTTTCCATATTATTTTGGTCATATAATTTTAAAAAATAATCCATATAATCCTATCTTCAATTACTATCATGATCCCATCTCTCTAGCCTCCAAATCAAATAATCATAAAAAGGAAAATACAAATAATTTAGAATACTCAGTTTATTATTTATACTTTCACCCAATAATATGAATATAGAGATCAAGAAGATTATGATCCTTGCTCTTTGGCCAGAGTCTAGTGGGAGAGATTCTTTTTAAAGATTTATTCTAAAAAGTAAGTTTTTATGATGGCAGTTGATACCACCCTAGTTGAAATTTATGGGCAAAAATAGGGGTTGGCAAACTTCTTCTGTAAAGGCCCAGAGAGTAAAGATTTTAGGCTATCTGGTCTCTGTCACAACTACTAAATTCATTGTTGTGAAAGCAGCTATAGATAACATGTAAGTAAGTGGACCGGGCTGTGTTGAGATAAAGCTTTATTTACAAAAACAGGTGGCAGGCTGGATTTGGTCTGCAGAAGCTAGAGAAGAAAACTTGGGGTTGGTGTGGGCTCCCAAATCACCTCTTTGTATTTCAGAACCGTATCTAGACTCTGCAAGACAATCCAGAAAATAGGATATGACCTTGCAGGTTTCAAGATCAGTGCCGGAGTTAAAGTATATAGGAAACAGTATTAAATTTTTTTTTTTTCAAAGAACATAACTAAATTTTGTGATTCAGTGTTACACGAATTCTAATGAAAAGGAGTTCAGTGAAGGGTAGTGTAAATAAGGAAGGTGCCATGGAAAACTAGAACCTAAGAATAACTCCTACCGTGTGGAGTTAGCGAGAGATAAAAAGTTACTTAGGATGTGATCAGCAACATACAGGGAATGAAAGGCTAAACAAACATAATGGTATATTGTGAGCCTTAAGGAAACAAGCCAAAGCAGGAGTGGAAGACATCTATTACTTAGGCAAAGACAGAGTGTGTTTTAAAACTATCCAGGATATTGCAGTGGCAACTATGGAACTGGCTTCATGCTTTGCCATTGACATTTTTTCCTACTCAGTAGTATACTGCAAACATACACATTCTTACATACTAACTTTTAGCTCCTGTTGCATAAATCTAGGGATTAACAGGATGCCAACCTATGACTAAACCCTTCTTGTCCACTGCTACTTCCTAATTTCTCCTTCTACCCACATCCTAATAAGCCTTTACCTATACTACCACTGCATGTCATTCCTCAATCAGCTCTTCCCATGGTGCTATTTGAAATAACCATTCTTTGGTGAATAAATTCCATATCTTTGAATTTTTCCCACACTCATTTCATCTAATTTCCATTATCATAAATCTTCTCAATAAACCTCTCTATACCTGATTCTCACCAGCCATATTTAGGTACACAGAATTAATCGTAATTCTTCATTCATGACGTAAATCACAAGTTCAATTTAGACTACTTTTTCTTTCTCTTTAATATAATAATCTAACAGCCAAAACAAAAGCTAGAATATAGCAACGACCAGGTGACAGAAAAGATGGCCAAAATACTCATTCCTTATCCCAAAGGAAGAGGTTACTTGTCTTTGACCTCCACTATATGACTTGGTTTCACCAATGGGATATGAGCAGACATGAATGACATGAACATGAAATGTGCCTGCATGGTGGGGCTTGCCCTCTTCTGTTTCTGATATAAGTAAGACAAGAACAAGCTTTGGCTAGCCCACTTGTCCAAGCAATATGACAGGCACGTGGGAAGACCTGGACTCAACCTACAACTTTTAATTGTCCAGCTGAGCTATACCAAGTAACCCACAGGTGTGTGATACATACTTACCGCTCTATATCCCTGAGATTTTTGTGGTTATGCAGAAGTAGCTGACTGATATAATCTACCACTGGTCCTCTGGTTTCCTCCATCCCATCTCCCTGCTACCTTCCACCTAGGTTAAACAATATCCTGAATTCCATTCATCATTCCCTTGCTTTCCTTTTCATATCATTTGTTGTACCTATTTCTGTCCTAAGCATATGTTTTCACTTTTAAAAACGTATAACAAAGAATCATATTATATGTAATCTTTTGGGAATTATTTCCTTCATTTAATGTTATATTGCTAAAATTCATACATATTGTGGCACACTGCTGTAGTTCATTTATTTTGATTATTCTGTAATTATTCAATTTGTGAACATGCCAGTTTGTAGATTCGTTTTTCTGCTGATAAAAACTGTTACACTGTTTCCAAGTTTTCGTTAGCATCCACAGTGGTACTATAGATATCCTTTTGCATGATGGCTTTTGTTAATAGGAAAGGGTTTCTCTTGAGTATTTTACTAGCAGTAAAACTGTGTCATATGATCATGGGATATGTTTATGTTCAACTTTGGAAATAATGTCAAATCATTTTCCCAAGTGACTGCAGCAATTTAACCTCCATCAGCAACACATGAGAGTCCATGTATCCACGTTCTCTATTACTTAATATTTTAAGACTTTTTTAGTTTGTTGTAAATTGAACAAGAATCACCCTGTAGCCTTGAAATGTATTTCTCTAAATACTCAGGAAGTTGAACATCTCTGTATTTTGAAGATCTTAGGTAATTTCTCTTCAGTAAAATGCTGTTTATGTCTTTTGGAAATTTTTTTTTGGGGGGGTTGTTTTTGTCTTTTTAAATTGATTGGTAGAACTTCTTTATGTATCCTATATACTAATCCTTTGCTGACTCTGTTTCATAAAAGTCCTTTAATATACTCTAATTTATCAATCTTTTATTTTATAGCTGAAGCTTTTTGTGTCTTTTAAGAAATCATTCCTTGCAATAATGTGGAAAGATATTTAACTATATTTTTTTTACAAAAAGTTTTGCTTTTGCACCCTTTAAAAGTTTAATTCATTTATAGTTAATTATGTATACATGATGTGATGTCAGATGAAATTTCATTCTACTCAAAAGAACAAGTTATTTTTTGCCCTAGCCTCATTTATCAAACAGTTCCCTCCTTTTCTCACAAGACATGCCTCCTCTGACATTTGCTAAAGTTAATGATTTACTTACTTCATCTCTACTCCAGGTTCTCCGTCTTGTAATTGTTAAGTGATCAGGAGGCTCTGTTGGCTGCGGTCTTGGATCACCAGATCTACAGTTGTTTCCTTCTGGAGTTTTAGAATGAACTAATGGAGGGATCTTTCGGAAGTTGAGGCTTTCATCAAAAACACGATCAACCAACTAATAAGACAAAAGCAGATCCTTATGAGAATAATTTGGAAAAGTCCCGATATTGGCATTATAATTTTATTAGACAGAAGTTATTCCATTGTCAGGTAGTAACAGAAGCATGATATCTTCAATAAACCAATTACTCTTTCTTTTTATAAGTACTTTAATGGTACCTGTTTAATAAAATAGATGTTCACCTACATAGATTTTATTTTTAAAATCCAAAATACATAACTATGTTAAATTCAATTCTTCCATGGATAAGATTTCCCCAAAATGGAAAACAGATTTAAGTAGAAAGGGCTGAGCCATCTTGATGGACATGTTCATTTTACTCACATTGTATTACCAATGTAAAATAATGTTTTTCTTTTAGTTTCCTATCTGTTTTTTTCTTTTTTCTCCCCAAAACCAGGTGCCAAATTTCTTCACAGATACATAAACTGCAAATTCCAATTAAGTGTATGAAAGGAAAAAAAATTAAATGAAGTATTTTGGTCTTAGGTAAATTTTGAACAATGCTACAAAAATTACATATTTTAGTAAAAATGACATACTGCCACCTACAGTGCAAATTATACAAATACAATACAAAGTAACTCAGGTTTACTGAAGAAGGAATAAACTTTAGTACATTATTCAGAAATAAAATAAAAAAGAAAAATTAAAGTCTATTCAATGAAATGTTGAGTAATTTTACTGGATCTGAGTGAATGCATAATCATGTTAGATAAAATTTAGTTAGATAGTTGAGAAAATATCTTATCATTTAAAATGTACCAGAAGAATTGTGTATGTCTTGCCACCAAGAAGATTCTTTTGTTTTTCAACAATGAGGATGGTTTTATATACATTTACAATTGATCAATGTGGTAACAAAACTCTACACAGATTCATGAAAGCTCATTTACCAAATCAGACAACACATGAAGGAGAAAAAACAAAACAAAACAATGACCATCAAAGAATTAGATTATAAAAGGAATGTGACAAAAAGCAAAGTAAGAAAATATTAACACAGTTTATTAGAATCAAGTCTGTCAAAAAGGCTAGCCATTTTGGGCTACTATTGAGAACATTATCTTATAAAATTGAGAAGCTATTAAAGGCTGACATATTTTTTTTTTCTGCAAAAGGCTAGATAATAAATATTTTAGACTGTGCAGCCATTCAGTGCCCATCTAACTACTAATTTCTGACATTGCAATACAAAACAGCCAGATGATAATTAAATAAAAGAATGTGGCTTTGTCGTAATAAAACTTTTAATTAATTCTCTCAAATGCCAATCTTTTGCTTGTACCAGATCAAGAGACCAAACATGGCAGAGTACCATTAATTTTATATTATCTGTTAAAGGCATCTTCTGGAGCAGTGTTGTGCAAATATTGGGCTCTGAAGCCAGAGAATAGGAGGCCCTGGTTTTGGAAGAGCAATAATCTATATATGCTACCTTACATTCCAGAATTTGCAAGAATGTTTCAAAACTGAATATATCTGTATTTTTTTTGTGTGTGTGTATAAATACATACATTTCAGTTTTCAAAGTGTATCCTTGAGTATATATGCGTGTGTATTCTTCAAAAGAATTATTTAAAGTAGTGAAAACTGTAGAATTTTCTCTTTATTTGCTAGTAGAGATATCCACCAGCTAAGCAGGTATAAAAATACCCTTTAATTGAAGTATTTTCATAGCCAGACTTTATAGAAACATTACACAATCATCTATCAAGTTTTAGTTTGCTATTCAGATGCCATTTATACTCCTATTTTATACTCATATTTTTAAGTAAAACTATACACGAATAATTGGCAAAGTGCTTGTTTTAAGTACTTTTACAGCTTCATGTTAATAGCAGATCAAATGTTAGCCTTTACTAGTTTTGCTACAAAAACATAAAAAGAAATTTTTTAAACCAAAGTTGGAAAATGCAGTGCTTCATGCAAACAGGGAGGGTGGATGTAACTAAAATAAACTAAGCAAAAAGCTAAAAGCAAAAGAAATAAAGAAAAGAAAGAACCTTATGCATTTCTCCATGAAGATCTCCTACCTCTTCTCTAGTGTCTATGGCAGAGCCAGGGGTGGTGGCAGCAGTGCTTACTGTGGTACTAGGGGCAGTGCCTGATGAAGTCACTGAATCTATCTCTCCTGCTACATCGTTGATTTCCCGAGCAATGAGAGCAAGATCTTGGCTGATCCTGGTAATAATTTCAGAAAAGAAGTTTAATCCCTTTTAAATAACAGTTCTAGAAACAATCATTTGTGATAGAATCAGTTATAGAAGTTGTGTATCTAATTAAAGATTTACACCAAAAACTTAGGATTTTTTGGAAATCCTATTAACTATTTTGATTCTAACAGTCTTAAACTTTAATTCCAAAAGTTAATAAAACTAAATTTCACATAAACTGTCACTTTGAAAAATATGTTAACACCCAGAAGTAGTGCTATGTCTTTTAAAACACACTGTTAGTATCAATGACTAGCATTAATAGAGGACAATGGCAAACAGAATCCAAGGAGTCGCTGCACCTGGATAAGAAAGTAATTACTACTTCATTTTCACTAACCTTTGTCAAATGAAGCTTAGCATTTCTTTTGATTATAAGTACAAGTAACAAACAATTAGTATTAGTAATATTGGGTTGTCATTTTTTTCACCAACAGAAATCACATTATGGTTGCTATAGGTATCTTAAAACAACTAGTCATTACTACTTCAAAATTAAATCCACAGCAGTCATTAAACCCACAGCAATTATGTTCCAGTAAGTATGTTAACAAAGAACTAATTATTGCTCTGTCACTTTAAAAATATTTTTATAATATTATAAAGAAATGCAGTCCTATTGAAACAAAACTAAGTATTTTATGTTGATGCATTTAGAAACATTATTCTGAGAGGAGCTCCATAAACTTCCCCAGATGGCCAAAGAGGTCAGTAACTCCAACACATGACTTTGACTTCATGTGACACACAGCACTTCATAGTACACGTTGTTATATCATTTGCGAGTCACAAGGTTCTTGTGAGGTAGGACTTTTCTAACTGAATGTGAATAAGGACACATTCTCAGATAAAGTGAGTGGCTTGGTTGTGACAATATAATTTACTAATAGCTAAGGCAAGGCCAGATCCCAAGTGTAGAGCTCATTTCCACAGAGCCATTTATTTGTGTTATCAGCCACGCGAACTGAAGAACTAAATAAGTATTACCAGTGATAAGCAAAAGGAAAAACTGATTTTTTTCCAATGCTGCTATTTTTAAGAGGGAGAAAACTTAATAATCTACCAGTGATAATCTTGCTTTTCTCAAAAAGATCTCAATTCAATGAGACATGAAAATTCTAAGTAATGCATCTACTGAAGTCAATTTGGCTACTTCCACAGGGAAGGTATCTAAATTACAGAACATTCTTAAAACAAGTGAAAGCTTCTGCAACTTTAAAACTGAAAGCAGGTACAAATTACCATTTTTTTAACGGGCAAAATGTAAGCTTGAAAGACTTTTAAGGAATACAGTAACTGCATAACAATTTAACTAACAGATTTAAAAAGAGAAGCTAAATGGAAGCTTATGGCCTAACAGACACGATTTGTGGTCAATTCCTTTATTTACCAATACAAAAAGGTAGGAAGTACACTGATAAATATATTTTGGTCTCTTATCACGTTCCAGGCACCATGCTATATACCCTAAGGGCTATAATGATGAGGAAGCAGATAGAGTCCCTGCTCTTATAAGCTTAGAATAAATATAATGAGCACATTATGTATAATTATGTAATGTATATTATAATATGACCAAAACCACTATATGATAATAAGCACCCCTAGAAAGAAGCTTTATACTCAACTCACTTCATTCTCACAGCCACCTTGTAGGAGAGGTACTCATCGTCTTGTTTTACAGATAAGGAAAATAAGGCTTAAGAGAAGTTATTTGAACACTTTTTGGTTAAGGTCACAAATACTTAAATGGTGTAACTAGATCTTTTTATTAGGTCATGCTATATCTCACATTATCATTCCATGTGTAATTTTTAAAAACTTGTAACTGTAACTTGTAAAAACTTGTAATTTTATAACTGTTGATATAATTCTTCTGGGGAAGAGTTTACCGTGTTTTCTTAGATACTACATTCAATTCTTGCATTTCTGAAATAAATGAACTAAAGTTCAGAGAAACCGAATAACCAAGCTTAAAAGAGACAAAACATAGATAAGCATGAGCTTATCCAAAAATCTATTTTTGCTTTTAAGTTTTTTTATGCAGACATTTGTACAATGAAGCTTCTGATCTTTGTAGATAGCAATCTGAGTTAATTAGAAAAAATGAAACAGACAATAGCAATCTCAACAGGTTATGCAGTAAAAACTATGCTAACATGAACAACTCTAATGTATACATGACATAAACTGGTTAGTCAGTAAGCACCTTAAAAGCCGCCTTTTAATTTGCAAGTTTATCATGTACATGCCAGCTGTTTCTTTGTGTGACCACGATTCCTATCTTAAAGTTGACTCAGTAATACAGACCATTAAATTGGTTTAAATCCACACTGCTTAAAAGTCTCAGCACCTACTAAAAACCAGCATTAGGAATTCTAAAAAGCAAAATTATCAAGAAAACCAAAGTAATAAATATCTTCAAGCAGAAATAACAGATTTATAATTCAATATAGAGTATGGACCTATTTATATAGCTGTTAATTCTAAGCTGACTTATTCCATAATGCTTCTAGGTTACACTCATTGGAATATTTTATAATAATGTATTTCTTGACATCTCTTGATCTGTGTGCTTTTTTTTTTTTTTTAAGATGAAGCTCATAATCGTTGTTCATATTCTGTCTCCATTCCTATCAAAACTGCTAGAGGACGAAATTCTAAAATGATACAAATGTTTTATTTGGAGTTTTGCAATCCATCTGGTTTCCTTGCTTTCAGATACATGGCTGAAAAATACACCTTAAAAAATAAAATCCCAAAGGCAAGTTTTATAACCACAGTGCTACTAACAAACTAGAAGGAAAAGGAATAAAGTCATTAGAAGTTAAATGACAGGCAGTTTAGCAGTCCTGCTGGTATACCTAACGAGACATGCAGAGACGGTGGTGATAGAATGCATGTAGTAACAAGGTAGAGCCAAGTGAAAAATGTCACCTTGAGCTCCTGTGCACTGTCTCCTCTGTGGTAGCTTTCCTGGGTGGGGGCAGGGAAGGGGTTTGGCCCAGAAGAAGGGGTCTAAGTTTTGGGGGGGGGGGGGAGTGCCCCTCAAAGGGAAGCAGACACACCCAATATTCCCTCAAGGTACTTCTTGAGTTGGTTTTGGAGGACCTCTCCTCCTCAGGAAGGGGAAAGGATGAGAGAAGGCAAAGTCTGCTGTTGCCAGCTGCACCCACAAGAATAAAACATGAGTTTTATAATAATAAAACATAAAACATGAGGGAGATTCTCTCCCTGCAGGCATCCTGTGGGTTTATGACAATTAATGGATCCTGAAGCACAGACAGGCCTGTTCCCTAACTGGAACTGGCTCACAATGCCTCAATAATTTGTCTCACAAAAAGCTATTTATATGGTAAAATAAAATGTTTAAGCAGTACAATGAGATTAAAAGGGCATGTCTAAAAGAATTGAAAGCAATTACAAGTAAATAGTCATTAAAGACCCCAAAACATAAACATTACATTAAAGTAATGAGCCAGAAAAAAAACATAATTCATAGAAGTCAACAAAGAAAAGCAAGATAAACACTATTAAATTATGTTAAGGGACAGCCCGGGTGGCTCAGGGGTTTAGCACTGCCTTCAGCCCAGGGCATGATCCTGGAGATCCAGGATCGAGTAGCATGTCGGGGCTCCCTGCATGGAGCCTGCTTCTTCCTCTGCCTGTGTCTCTGCCCCTCTCCTCTCCGTTTCTCATGAATAAATAAATTTAAAAAATTATGTTAAGAGTTTTTTAAGCATCTATGGATTATTACATATTATGTTCTTTAATTATAATAATATTGCCTAATATAAAACTTGAAGATTAGAGCCTTAAACTGAAGGCGGAAATAACTGTAGCACATAAACATGAAAATGTTTTAGGTGACATAGGGTATATAAAACACTGCAGTAAAATTTAGTATCTTACAAACTTAAAAAAACATACTTTAACTACAGTTAGCATCTGTTTGAGTATAGCCTCTCTTCAATGTTTAGCCATGATAAGGTACTAATTAAAAATCACTTCTGCAGCATGAATTTTACATTTTAGGATACAACTTTTAGTTACACTAAGCAAATTTATTTAATATTCTTTTTTCAAAAGAAGATTTTATTTATTTATTCATGAGAAACACAAAGAGAAAGGCAGAGACAGAGGCAGAGGGAGAAGTAGGCTCCCTGCAGGGAACCCGATGTGGGACGGGACGGGATCAGGCCCTGAGCCAAAGGCAGATGCTCAACCACTGAACCACCCAGGCGTCCTACAAATTTATTTAATACTCAAAATAATTAATAAAGGATTGAATTAAACTAGTATCTAATGAACTCATAAACTGTGAGTAAAAATCCATCTCCTCTAAGTCTCCCCAGAGAACATGAATAGAATATCTCCAACAAGTGTGCTTATTACCTCTTTGGAAGATAAAAGGAAAGTAATAAAAAACTCAGCTGCACAACTCTTAATTATATAAAGCTGACACTACCTTTCAAGAATGATATTAACTCATCAGTATCTTCACCAGAAACAAGAAAGGGGGGCTGCAACCAAAATAAATCAGTTGTACAATATGTTAGTAGCACTGGTGTTAAAAACATGAACCAGGAGAAACTGCATGGAGAGGAACACTTTGGAGGAAACTAAGTTCATAACTACCTGTGGATTTCATTTCTTGGACTAATTTACACAAATCAGATACAAGCTAAACTTTGTTATCAAGTTGAAACACTGACAAAAAATTTCAGCTCTTAAAGATGATCCATTAAAACCAACCTGGCTATCTCTTCTCGATGGGCTGTCCAGTCTCGGATGTAGTCTTCCTGCTCTTTGATCCGGTGCTTGAACGAAGAACTAGTAGGCATTGCTGCTGACCCAGAGCTCTGCAACCGAGTGGTTTTCAGGGCTGGAGAAGTACGTAGACGAGTATGTTTAGGGGAATTACGGTTTGATCCAAATTCATCTTCTGAGGTGGAAGCATAATCAGTAGGAAAGCGCCTCCATCTTGAATTTACTAAATTAGTTTAATTATTAAAAAAAGAATTATTATGTTACCTTTTAAAGGAGATAAAAGTCATGATTTCAAAAACACCATGAGACAAACACAGCACAATTTTCAAAAACTGACATACACATACCTAACAAAAATCATGTCTACTACTTCTTAAAGATAGAAACAATACATTTTGGTGAATTAAAAACAATGAGTAATTAAAGACAATTGAAAGACCATGTTTTCCGTAGTATGGTGAATAAAACACTCAGATGAAAAATTCACTAATGATAAACAACTAAGCAAGCTCTATTCATAAATGTTTAACTCAGATACTTTTTAGTTGCAAATATATATCATTTGAATGAAGGTATGGATTTTTTAAAATGACAGTAACAGTAACAACAAAAATAAAAATACGGGAAAAGATTTCCTCATGCCACATGGACTTTCAACATGGAGATGGTAATCTCTCTTTTCCCAACATACAAATGTGCATAATTCCTGCTGTGGAAATTATGCTTTTATGGCAGAAAAAAACATTACCTCTGTCATTCAACATCCTGTTATGCTATGATTGGAAAAAATCTTTTTACATGGTAAAAACACAACAAAGCATCTTCAGTACAACTCTGCTTTGACACTGAAAGCATATGGCGAATATAGACAATGGCATAAGACCTACAAGGAGCGAAGCTCTACAAAGCTATTCTCACAACCAATGACATTCAAGGCACAGAAGATACTGTGATATTCACATTAAAGAAAGTGGCAATCACTTTCTTATTTAAGGTTAGTAAAGACATTTTAGAGATGGTATTGCTGACACATCTGAAAAATCAGAAGACAAATTAATTTCACAACTACTGTTAGTGTAAGAACGAAACAAACAATTTGTGAGGCATAAGATAGAGGTCACAAATAGGGCAATAATGACTGATTCACAGTAAACCTCACAAGGGCAGGAGCCACACCTGTTTAATCTACTACTGCATATCTAGCACTTAGCAGAGGGTCTGGCTAGCAAATGTTTTAAAAATATTTTTGAATAAATGAATGAATTCCTAGATACTGACCACCTGCTTTTCACAGATTAGGTAAAACCCAGTGAAAAGCATGAAATATTTTTAGTGGCTAAAGTGACAAAAACTCAGCATCTGCTATAAGTTCCAATTGCCATTAATATTAGAAGAGTTTTCTTTCTCTCTCTCTCTCACTCCCCCCCCTTTTTTTTTTTGCTCCCCCTCTTTTAAAACAGAAACTGACCCTAGGCTGCAAAGATTGGTCAAGTCTACAATTCCTTCATCCTGCTTCACTGGAATTTTGTACCTCTCCTGTCTCTTCCTCCCCAAACCACAGTTTTGCCTAGCATGGCTCAGGTGGCTGTCAAATAAAACTGATATACAATGCCACCAGAGTTGGTTTAAGAAGCAGAGAAATCTATAAACGGGAATGTGTCTTGAATCAGAGCCTGCCAATTCATCCTGATTCACAATCCCATTTGAAGCTCCTAGAGCTTGGAACGAGATTCACGGGTATAAGAAGATATGCAGAAACTTCATGGCCTTCTGGAAAAGTGTATGCAAACACATATACACAACTCTAGGTAATTATTCATAATGTCTTTTGGAGGTAGTGGTCAATAAATTTTCCAGTTTTGCCATTACAAGATAATTCATTAACATAAAAATACTTTTACCACTAAAAATTACTAGTTTTTAGACATCTGAAAAGTCCTACAATTTGAACTAACCCCAAGACTTGAAAACAATTTCAGAAACACTTTAGGAATAAGAGCAAAAAGACTCTAGAAAAAAAAATAGAAATATTGCAATGTTTATACTTTTTAATAAAGGCATGCCATTAAACATCAATGTTTAGAATATATCATTCATAGAAAACAAGTTCACAAATAAGAAAAGGACCATTCATAGATTTGATTTCCTGATTTTTGATTTGGAAACTATGGAAACCATACTTACAACAACTGAAAGTTGTTTGGAGTGAAAACAAAATCAATAGCAAAGAGTTTTAATAGATTGCAGGAGATGTGAAAACATACTTAGGGATGATGGAGCTAGGTCATTGACTTAGAGGTAACTGACAAAGAATGCCATCATTGGCTATTATATTTCACAAGTAGCACAATATATGAAAGCTGAACGAGAAACTGAGAACCAAGTGCTAAATGTCAGGTGATGGCATGTAAATAGAGCCACATTAGAATGAACTTTGAGTCTCAAGATCAGAAAATAATTACATTTTGGGGGGGGAAAGAGAAAAACTTCTTTTCAAATGACATTCATAGAGTTTCCACTTATTTTTACAGGTCTATCTAGAGGCCAGCAAGATTACTGAAGTTTAAGAATATCTTTCCAAAAAAAAAAAAAAAGAATATCTTTCCAGATAAAAGCAACCATAAGGTACCATAAAGATATTTTAAAAATGGAAAGGTAACATATTTAGGCCTGTTCTCTTAAAATTGAGGGCAAAATGAGAGATAAAATAAAGAGGGGATAGCCAAGAAATGAAAATATGGCTAGTAAATCTTTAAATGATTAAGGGTTATCTTTATTAATGGCACACCTATCATATGGGGAGTACTAGGAAGCAGAGCTCAAGTATGGTGTAGACACCACTTGGCTTGTGTAACAGCCAAGAGGAGAGCGGAGACCAGTGGGATGATCACTACTGGCTGAAGAGAGACCAGGAGAGGGGCTTTAATGCCAGGGCCTGTTATTTCCCAAAGAACTTATCTGAAGAAAAAAATCCCTACCATCGACTAGTTACTGCAGAGTAAACTTCAAATTAGAATGTTTTTAACTTTCCCTATTGACTACTTATTTCATAGAATTTTAGAATATAAGAATCTCTATTTAACATTAGCATAAATTCTTCAATTTATATAGAGAAAAACAGGCCCAGAAAGGTCTTGCCTTGCTTAAATCAAAGTTTAAGCCAAGTTTACCAACTCCCAGAGTTCATAGCTCATTTGTTGCTATTCTAAATACTTCACAGTTACATGTTAGAAAATCTTTATTTAAAAAAAATTTTTTATGATTCCAGTTAGGCTAATTCTTTGAAAAGATATCCTCAATTTCTCATAGAATGATAGTTTTTGTGATTTCTACCTGTGAAGAATTTTACTTCTTCCTCTTGAATTTTATTGTCTAAGTAAAATCCTGTATAGAGTTAAAATGCAGCATTAGGCCTATCTGATATATTATTGGTACCAGGAAGGCATTTCAGATAAATCATTAAATTGAATATTATAACAAAAGTATTTGCAATGCCAGGCCCCAGGGAGGCTTCCTTGGTTGGTGAGATACTAGATAGCAAATATAATAAAATCAAAGTTCTAAGATCAGCTTAATTAATTTTGTAGCTAACCTGAAAATTATTTTAGTTACATTAATTATAATGCTTAGTTACAAAATTATGCAACACTCCCTCTTATGGAAATAATAAACTACTATATTCACTATGAAAACATACTATTGAGAATTTAAAAAGGAAGAAAGAATTATCAGGATTATTTATTTGTGAATGCTCTGATTTCTTTCATTGCTAACTAAAACTTTGTTGGCCTTAAAACACATCCACATGTATAGATGTAACAAATACATTTCAGGAAACAAACACTGCATTTTCACACTTTATATCAGAATATTTTTGTGGGAAATAAACCACAAACATACTTTACGGGTATATTTATAAGCATGTAGCAATTAAGATCATTTGGGGAAAAAGATCCCTGACAATGTTCTGTATTGGTCTTTAACCTGGAGGAAGAAATAACTGAAGCCATGCGTGCCCAACATCTAATTCCTACCATCTATAAAATTTGAGGTTCGGAATAAAAATAAGAAAGCAAGAAATCTAAGGATGTGTACCTAATGAAAACCAACTGCTTTACTTTGAAAACCTTGCACACTTAGTTTTAAATATATCTTATCAAAATAAATCTGGATATTTTAACATAACTTGATATTAAAGGATTACTGAAGGAATGGGGTGGGTAGTGGAGACTAGACTTTCCTAAAAGCAAATTACATCAGAATTAAAGAAGCATCAAAGAACTTTTAATGTTTCTAAGCCAGAGATTTCCATTCTTCTATTTTTATCATATACATTTCTTTGGAAAACTTTTTTTAGACATGGCCTAAATTATGAAATCTGAAACATTACAGAATTATTTTCACATATGCCAATCTGGACATATCAAGGCTCTAGGTTCAGAGACCTCTAAGTCCTTTAAGTTTACAGTTTGTACAACAACACTGACCAGTATGATTTTACATTCTCTTAAATCATATTTCAAAATCTAAGAATTTTTATTTTCTTTTCCAGTCAAGATATTATAATTGTCTTAAGTAGAAATGCCATAACATAAAGACAACCCATTTAGCAACTAGATCAAGTGTCTGCTTTTCTTGTTTTTTTATTTGCCTACCCATATAACTATGTTAGTGTGTGACCACTAACTATGAGATGCTAGCCATTGTCCTTGTAGATAGGATAGAATACTATAAACAGGCATCTTGAGTGAATCCAAACATACAATCCTGGATCACAATGTGGCTTCATGAATTTAGTAACACATCAGAATTACATAGGTTATAGTGGACAACATACCAAATATATTGTATGTTGGCCTTGTATATACTTCTGGAAATAATCCAATAAATTCCAGGCATTGCCCAGAAGCTTGTAAGCAGAGTATTTCTGAGAGCCAGACAGGATGTGGTAGAAACAGCAAGAGGCTGGGAATGAAAAGGCCTTGGGGCTTCTCATCCTGTCCCTGCCTCTGCTATGTGACCAGGGCAGGTTGTTGCATCTCTTGGCCTAAGTTAAGTAAACTGAATAATCCTTCCAGTTTTTAAATTCTATGGTTCTAATTATTTAATATACTACTATTAAGTATGAAGAAGGCCGAAAGGGTACTAGGGAATATCGTTAAGCAATTGAAGGTACTTTTTGGATATAGAAAACTGCATGTTTATCAAGTTCTGTATTCAAAGGAGAAAACAAAATTTATCTTTGAAGACAGAGCATCTTATAGCAGTTTCTTAGATTTGCTTAAGTAGTCCTCTTGGGCTTGCACCTCACAGAAGACCTTCATGTTAAACAGATCACTCATGTGTCACAGACCAGAGAACCAGTACAGAAGGAACTGTTCCATGCTACTTGGTGACATATGGCTTGCATTACAGCTAACAGTGAGACAGGAGAAAACTGGAACATTTCTATGTACTGAAATAGAGATGAGGTGATCAAACAAGCCATGTGAGAGAAGAAATTCTATCACAGTACACACCATAGAATGCAGCACAAAGGAAATGTGAATTGAAGAGGTAGAGCCATAAGGAACAGAACACCAATACTGGGTAAACACAAACCGACAGACAGCAGTCAGTTTTAAAATGCTTGCAATAACTGCATGAACCAGCAACAAGAGCTCCCAGTGCAGAAGCAGGGACGATGGGGCATGAAGGAAAATCAGCTATTCTTCTGGAGTCCTGATTAATTAATTAATTAATCCCTATTTCCCACCTACTTGCACTCCCACCACAGATCTGACCATGAGAGAGGGAGCTGTGAGTACAGGGGAGGGAACAGCAGTGAAGACAAGAGAGGAGGAATTAAAAGTGAAAACAGAACATGAGGAGCACTGTTAGTTTTGAGTCTTGCAGACTCCACCGTGGTAGACATAAAAGTCAGAACATGGGATTGTATACCAACCTTCCCTCACTCTTCCCTCAAGACTTAGGCTCACTTGGATGCTTGCTAATAAGAGATCTCTAAGTCTTTGACCAGCTGGCTTCCCCTCACTGGCCCTTGTAGCCCCACCCAGGGGTGAGGCTGATTATGAAGTAAGAGTCCATGCGTACAGGGTACACACAAGCACCTGTGTCAGTACTATGGTCACACACTCGTACTCTCCTGGGCTACAGCTGTGAATATGAAGTACACCAACAGACAAGTATCCCAAAGGCCGTTCAATTTGCATGGGGAGGAAATAGCTTTTGGAATGATTATATTCATTGACAGCTAATTACTATAGTTAAGTGACAGAACAGTGTTTTATGAGATAGTGCTCGTATTCAGGTTTCTGTAGCCCAGTTTGACCCATATATACTTAGGGATTATCTCATGAATCCATCTTCTTCCACTGAAATAAATTAAGGATTAGTTTTCACCTGTCCCAACTATAAACAGATTTAACTTCAAAAAATATAAGACATTTCTACAGAAATGGGAAAGCAAGGATAAAACAGCAATTATTTCACTTAGCTCTGCTAAGCATACTACTTTTCTTCAGATAAAGGGCTTCTGCAAAGGGCTTTGAATTATGTGAGGATATTTAAGAATCCCTATTCCTGTTAATTCCTATTATTTAAACCAGATACTATTCCTCCTCTAATTCGACACATGAATCCAGATATCTCGTCAACCAGACAATTAAAATTCCTAAACAGATACTAATTTTGAAGTCACTATTTTGTCCCAGGGTATTAATTGGAGGTGTGTGTAACTTCTGAATCTTCCAGAGATGAATATGAGCTAAAATACTTTTATAGAAAATATCCTCTTATAGCATAACCTTTCTGTTGAATATTTTTAGAAGTAACACTAGACATCTAATTTTTTTTAAAAAGGGAGTCCCTTGGGATCCCTGGGTGGCGCAGCGGTTTGGCGCCTGCCTTTGGCCCAGGGCGCGATCCTGGAGACCCGGGATCGAATCCCACATCGGGCTCCCGGTGCAAGGAGCCTGCTTCTCCCTCTGCCTGTGTCTCTGCCTCTCTCTCTCTCTCTATGACTATCATAAATAAATAAAAATTCAAAAAAAAAGAATAGTTTATAAAAAAAAAAAAATAAAAAAAATAAAAAGGGAGTCCCAAAACATGAAATAAATATGCTAATATTATAAAAAGTCTGGATCCAAATTACCTGAAGGGGAGCCATGTGCTGAGGTCATACTTTTGACCTTGGAGTCCGATAGTCGAGAGATACTGTTAGCTCTAATTCTAGGAGAAAATTTATCTGAAGGTACTAATCTGGCTCCACTTCTAATGATGGCTTCTGCAGTCCTCGAAGAGGCACTACTTCTAGAGATTGTTGCCTCAGAGTCACTGCGAGCTGATAATGAGCCAAGCCTTGTTCGACGAGGCTGAGCCAATAAATCAATCCTAGAGATGTTACGCCTTCCTGTGGGGGGCTTTGATGTGGAACTGGTTGTGGACACTTCAGAAGCAACGGATGCTTTGTCAGCATCAGCCAGTTCACTGTCGGACACTTCACCAAGTCGTGCTCTGCGCAAGAGGGAAGTCCTGGTAGGTCGCGGCCTTGGAAGAGTGGTTGATTTACTGGATGATCCAGGTGCTATAGGAGAAGTCTTAGATTTAGTTACTTTACTTCCTTCCAGTTTGGAATGTGCATGCTCATCAGTTGAGGTAAGTGGAGTCCTGGCATGAGATTTACAAGAGTAAGTTTCCTGATCAGATGACATAATATCAGAGATAGCAGAATGAGGTACACTAGAGGTTTGGTCATCATCTGTCAAATCTACTGAAGGTTGTCTCATTCTTCCACTGGACTGTACAAATTTACGGCCATCCGCTCTTGAGCCTACCTCTGACGAACGACTTTTTGTTTTCTTCTCAATTTTCTCCCTAGCACCTGAAGATGATGATTTTGTAACATCTTTGGAAGGAGAACCTGTGGAACATCTATCTTTATAGAGACTTGTGAAACTCTTTCGCTTTTGGGTTGACTTTCTTTCAGTCTCTCCTGTGACCAGACTGATTGTACTAGCTGTGTCCACATCAGATTCTGGTGAGATAGAGTTGTCTCTATTATAACTGGGAGTATCTGGGCCTTCATCAGTTTTATTATCTTCACGCAGTTTGGCTTCCAGAAAAGCCATCACTGCTTCTGTGTCTTTCAGAATAAGAGTTGTGTCCATACTGGAATCAGTATCCATAGAGTCACTTCTTTCTCGTATCCTACTGGCAGCTGTCAATGCCAGAGAAGGGGGTGTGGATGAAGTCTGCTTGTTTATATGGGGAATAAGTTCTATGGGTATGTTGGGACTAGGTTTCTCTATGGTGAAGCTTCCTTGTCGCACTAAGGACTTTGAGGATTCCTTCTTGTCTCCCCCTTTTGAACTCTGACCTTTGAGAACATCCTCAGCTTTTCTTCGCTTGCCCTCATTTTGTGTCACCCTTTCTCCTTTGCTGGTAGAGTGTCCTGGAACTTTTTCTTGAGGTTGTGACTCTTGTTTAAAAGATTCCTCCCGGCACCTATCTACCTGACCTGAAACATTTTTGGAAGCAGACAACTTGCTAGGTGTCCACTGTGCCTGCTCCTTTTGTTCCTGTTGTTGAATTTTGGCCAATGTCTGCTTTACCACAGAAGCTTCCTTATCAGTATCACTTTTGTCCTTTCCAGAAGAGCTGCCCAAGTGAAGAAGGGTTTTATTATCTCCGCCAGGCCTAGCAGCTTCGCCGTTCACTGCCCTGCTCATCTTACTCAGGGGTCGGTCAGCATCTTGTTTATCCTTCTGATATGCCTGTGTAGGAGCTTCTTTCTCCTGAAGTTCTGTGTCTTGTTTTTCTCCAATCTCTGACCTCTGTGTTATAACCTTGGCTCTGGAGCTCTCAAGAGACTTTTCTTCATTTGGAAGCTGGGGAAGGGTGCGTCTCCTTCTCTCTCCCTGACTAGCCAGGGAAGTTGCCGAGCCAGTACTTCGTGCTGAAATGCCAGACTCGCTGATATCTGTATCTATACAATAAAACCACAAAAAAGAAATGTATTAGAGCAAAAAAGTACAAATAAAAAGAATATCATATCACATTAGATTTTGCAGTGGAAGCTAAGAAATGGCTTAGTGTACAAGAAAACTCTGAATAAACATGCCAGCATTGTGATAGAGCCATTTCAAGAGCAAGTACAATGCCACGATATACAAACAGGCAGATTACTAACAGGGGTAGTCAAAAAGGCAGTTTTATGACATGAAAATTAGGGTCATTTGTTGCTCTTTCTCTTTCAATATACTTTATGGCAGGGAAGGTCACTGTGTTCATTCTTGTTTTTATAAGGTCCATGAAATGTTGCTCAAGAAAATGTTTTGTAGAATTGCACAGAGAATGCCTAATAAACACTTTCAAACACATAGTATAGAAAAATATACTAGGGGCACCTAGGTCACTCAGTGGGTTATGCATCTGACTCTTGATCTCAGAGTCATGAGTTCAAGTTCCACATTGTTTTTTAATGAGCATTGTAATCTATCTGAAAGAATGACAAGTTTGGATTTCCTAAGTAAAACAGAAAATGCAAGACTTTAGAAGGTTTTCTTAAAAAAAATAAATCAACTCTGTTAAAAGGATTGTTTTTAAAGATTTTATTTATTAGATAGCTCGGAACAGGGGTAGGAGCAGAGGAACAAGCAGACTCCCTCCTGAGTGCAGAGCCTACTGTGGAGCATCTGATCCTAAGACCCTGAGACCATGACCTTGAGCTGAATTAAGAGTCAGATGCTTTGTCAACTGAGCCTCCCAGGTACCCCAAGATTTTGAAAAATTTTAAGTGTGAAACAAAGTAACAGAACTTGTACTTTTATAAACTGAGGGATTTTAAAATTATGGTGTTCTGGTATATTAACACCTCATATAGAAACACATGATCACTTTTTCTTTTCACAGTTACATAGAAAACAGTGAGAATATATACACTTTGATATTTCTATGTGAGAGAATTTGAGAATACCTGAGGATTTTGCTGACCTCTATACTTGGAATACAGAGAAAAGGGACGTCTGTTTAGGGAAATAAAAATTAACATATAAAGTATTCTCATCTTTGAGGGTAAGTGGAGGCAAGATACCAAGACCTAACTTCTGTGGGTCTTTTCTCCCTTTATAATTCTGAAAGTTGAACATTTAAATTTCACAGCAATGTAATAGTTATGATGCAGGAAAACAGCTACTAAACTTCCTGATTCAACTTTAGCAATTAGTCAGGACATTACTGTATTATGTCTCATCTCTATAGTGCTACTATAAGTACCTAAATTGTACTAGCTATTTTATCTTTTTGTATTTTCTAGCATTTCTTAAATTGTCCTGCTTCTAAGGCACATGTGATGAATGTTTAACAAGAATATTTTAGTATTGAAGTGCATTTATCAGCTTATCTAAATAATTTAGAACATGACGAAACATTTTGAAACAAGATAATGAGGGGTCAGCTTGTTTGTTATATTTAATTTTTTGTTTTGTTTTGTTTTGTTTGTTTGTTATATTTTATAACAAGGGTAGAATTTTGCTTTCTTCAGCTAAACTAATTTCACAATGCATTCTTTGGTAAACTTACTTCTGACCCTCTGACCCCTCTGTTTGGGATCCTTGTTCCCCAAACAGTGACCAGTTTGTGTCAATCAATCTGCAAAAATCACTCAGTCTTCTCGAGAAGCTTTCAGTAATACTATTGATTACTTCTAGTTTTTATTGTAAATCAGTTATATAAGAATATAGATAAAAAGCCACATGCAAATTCTTCTTGAGGGTTTTATTTCTAATTAAGAATCTAATTAATTCAACCTAATAAAATCATTAGAGGCATAAAATTTCATTTTTTAAAGAAAACTTTTATTTCAATTCACAGAATTATTATTAGAAGGCAATAAAAGTCATATTACATAGCCTTGCAAAAGATATTAAGTAAATTAAGTATTCTTTTTTATTGAATTTTATTGAATTGTATTAAATATTGAATTTTATTGAATTGTACATTTACTTAAATGCACAAAGTAGCATTAAAATACTTGTTGTATTAATGATATTATGAATATTGTAATTTGGAACTGTTGTTTTACTTTAAAATTATCTTACTTTAAAATTTCCAGGGCAGCCCCAGTGGCGCAGCAGTTTAGCGCCACCTGTAGCTTGGGGTGTGATCCTGGAGACCCGGGATCGAGTCCCACGTCAGGCTCCCTGCATGGAGCCTGCTTATCCCTCTGCCTGTGTCTCTGCCTCTGTGTGTGTGTGTGTCTATGAATAAATAAAATCTTAAAAAAATAATAAAATTTCCATTTTTATATTTTTACCATATATATAAATTTGTATACATGTACGTGTTTTTCACCTACATATTAGCTCTTCAGTTAGTTATATTTTAATGGTATCTGCATTATTAGTGCAAATAAAATCATATATGTAGTATAAACAGGAGAATATGTGATTATGTTTATTTAGGTTTAGTTTACTTCTCACTATACGGATTTAGTTTGTTTTTAAAAAAACTGATGTAGGAGTCACAAAAAAGAAAAGGGGGGGGGAATACCATTCTCTAAAGGAACAGGTACAGACAATTCCATTATTCTTTCTTCTTGATCATGCCTTGTATGATTTGCAGCCAAACTAGCCCACTGTGAAACCCAGCGTTTGTTTCCAGATGAAGATGCACCTTCCTAAAGGAGAAAGATAAAGGAAAGAAATCAGTCTATTTAGTCAGAGTTCTATAGAGTCACATTATCTTATCATACAAAGCCATGTTTAAACCTCACATTGCCATATTATCATTTATTAAGTTTCTTTATATATAGAATGAAGATTCTCTAGGTACTCCTTTTAACTGTATCGTATTATTACTTTAAGTGCAGTATAATTTTCTCTACTTATGAAATACTAATGATGGCACTAAAATAAACACTTAGAGCTTAAAATTTACTGTGGCTGAACAAACGTGGGTGAATTATCACAGCCTTATGGCTAAGACAGTGGAGTTGATTCTACTTCATTCTATGGAACAGGAGTCTAGTGGTTCTCTGGCCCTCTAGATGCTTCTAGGAATCAGACTGGTTCCAGAGTCTCAAGGAGTATTAAACCTTTCAGATCATGTCTTTAGGGATTTCAAAAACAAACCCAAAGCTTCAGACCTCTTTTTAGAACATTTTACTGTTTCCAGAAGCAGCTGGAAATCACTTAACCCTTAAGAATTTTTCGATAACTGGGGATCCCTGGGTGGCTCAGTGGTTTAGTGCCTGCCTTTGGCCCAGGGCGCGATCCTGGAGTCCCGGGATCGAGTCCCACGTTGGGCTCCCGGTGTGAGGCCTGCTTCTCCCTCCTCCTGTGTCTCTGCCTCTCTCTCTATGTCTATCATAAATAAATAAATCTTAAAAAAAAAAAAGAATTTTTCGAAAACTAGTCTGAATCTAGACTTGTGCACGTATAGATCTGGCCTTAAGGCGAGTGCTCTTTGAATCTCTATAGTCAAGTGTGAAACAATTTAATTCACGATATGGTTCCACAGATTTATGGACATATACTGATAATTTTTAACATCAGGACAATCTAGGCATTTAATATGGAAGATCTAGGGAATACAGAAAAAAATATGTTCCTTCACAAAAAATCTAAGTCAAAGCTTAATTTTGAGACTGTAATGACAACTATGGAATGGAAGGCTATTAACCAAAATTATATTATGAATTATTCAAAACAATATCTTAAGTATCATATTTACTGTATTAAGGATGATATGCTAAAAACTGATGAGGTACATATTCCATACAGACTATATATATGGTTTTAAGAATAGATTAAAATAGTAAGTATACATAGTGACATACATACAATGAAGATTAAGGATTCCAAAGCCTGCTGAATCTTTTAATTCCCTTTCAAGATTCTGTGCTAACTGCCCAAAGTTCTCAGCATGAAGGAAGTCCCAGAGCTACTCACACCTTCACTGGTAGTAGAACTATTCTGTAAAGAGGTTCTCATGGCCTGTTTAGGTGATTCCTTCAAAGGCAGTTGCATATTGGGGCTATATATAGAGTCCACTTGGCAGGGGTAGAGGGGATAAAGAAGGGAAGAGGGAGTCTTTTAAAGTTCATGTTTGTCAGAATCATTACTGGACCAATTAGAATACTGTGACAATAATTTTAACACATTTTTTAAAAGGTGGATTTACCTGTCTATTGAAATATTTTACATTTCATACAAATATAACATTTTATTTGAAATTGTTTTATTTATATTTTAAGATTTTATTTACCATTTGTATATCTATTTACCATTTGTATATTTTAAATTAGCTCAATTCTTGAGAGGGAGCATGGCATAGTAAGAGAAGGAGTCAAGAAAACATGGCTGCTTACTACAGTTCAAATTCTGGCTCCCTAAGGTACTCGGTTTTATGACCTTCATCAACTTAATTTCTACATATTTCAGTTTCCTTATTCGTAGAAGGGCACAAGAAATGTGAGATGACATTCTAATATTATTTCCAATAAGGGAATAACCACTTGTTAAGGGCATAAATCTTGGGCAATTACTATGCTGAGTGCTTCATATACATCACTGAACTCCCTGTAAATAGGCTTTGTCAACAATTTGCTTTGTAAAGAGGAGAACACTGCAGCTAAAGGGGAAGTGCCCAACACAGATGCAGCCGCTCTGGGATTCGCATTCAGGTCTTCCAGGCTCTACAGTACCAGGCTGACCACCTAACTTTTGAGCCAAGCCATCCTTGATTTAACTTTAGGTTATCCAAATCACATCCAGGGCTGCTCTGTACCTGCACTTTACTTAGGTATGTAAATTTTATCTGTCTGGCTCTACCTGGCAAATGCTTCCTGGCATGACAGACAGGCCTGTTCATGCTAAATAGTATAAGCAGTGTATAATTTTTGTTTCATCTCATAATGCCAATCGGAGAGTGAGCATATAGCTCATCAACTGCTTTCTGAAATTCACATTTTCCCCTCACTGAACATAACATAATTTAAAAGAACATAACAAAACCTGAAATAATTACTACAAAATTGCTTTAGGTTTTTATTAGAAACAAATTTATAAGAATTTAGTTTTTAGAACTCTCAAGGGGATATAACAATATAATAAATGATACAAATTTACATTTTATGTGTAAAAGTTACATATGAGGAAGGGATGTATACCTCTGAGTTGTGAAATCCAGGTGTACTCAGTGGCTTTCTTTCTTCCATTACTATTGCAGCAGAACTGAGAGCCCAATCTTTTATCAGATCTTTATGCTTTTCATTGATAATAGGCCTATTATAATCCTGATTGTCATCTACTCCAAATACCTAGGAGGAGAAATTATTTTATAAATGAAAAGTCTGAGCACCAGATTAATATATTATCAGTAACTTCAGAGGCAAATAAAAATATTCTAAATTAATTTTGATGGGTAATTCAATAGCGAGGGAAATGTGTTTCAGGACAGAATAACATCCAAATGCAGTGACCACTGGAAAGAAAAATTGGGCCCTGGCAGCTTACTATATTGTAAATAAAACTATCTTATTTAATATTTAGCCAAGTACTATTTGATAATAAATAAGAAATATCCAGAATATTACTCTTTGATTTGTGAAAAGATGTTAAATATTATAATAATGCAGAGTTAGGGAAGAATACCACTTCAGCTTGTTTTCAGCCTCTCCCTTTGCTCTATTATTTTTGAGAAGCATATTGCAGAACTATAAACATACGGCTAATTTTACTGGCTCCTTCTCTAATAAATGTGTAACATTTACATACATGAATTAAAATTATACTTGAAATTTTCTAAGGTCCCAAAAAACAGATTTTATTGTATGATCTCTGTATAGAGTACAGCATGATCTTCACACTTTATTTGCCTAAAAATTCATTGAAAGGCCTCTGAAATGCAGATCCTGGGTCTCCCCCCACAGATGAGCATTTACAACAAGGAGGCTGACTATGGTCAACACCTGTGGGGTATTTAAATACAAGGACCAAAAACCATGTGCTCAATCAAGGGCAGGATCTGAGTCTTGCTCATTTCCTGGCATCTAACAGGCTGGAGGAAGGTTATAACTACATAAACTTTAACATTCCACTTTACTATTTAAGTTTCTTTGTTCCCAGTGCTTATTATTTATAGATTTTATTGGTGGCTCCAATGATTACATTCAAGAAAAATATTACATGTTTGAATGAATGCTTTGTAGAAAGGATTTTTAGAATATAACGAAAGGGGGCAGCCCAGGTGGTTCAGTGGTTTGGCGCTGCCTTCAGTCCAAGGCGTGATCCTGGAGACCCAGGATGGAGTCCCACATTGGGCTCCCTGCATGGAGCCTCTTCTCCCTCTGCCTGTCTCTCTCTCTCTCTCTCTCTTTCTCTCTATCTCTGTGTGTGTGTGTCTCTAAATAAATAAAAGTAAATAAATAAAATCTTAAAAAAAAAGTTTCTAAAAAAATATAAATAAAAAAAAAGTCTTAAAAAAAAAGTCCCACATTGGGCTCCCTGCATGGAGCCTCTTCTCCCTCTGCCTGTCTCTCTCTCTCTCTCTCTTTCTCTCTATCTCTGTGTGTGTGTGTCTCTAAATAAATAAAAGTAAATAAATAAAATCTTAAAAAAAAAGTTTCTAAAAAAATATAAATAAATAAACAAACAAACAAACAAACATATAACGGAAGGGCCTTCTTTGCTATAAAAAGGGACAAATAACTTAGGTTACACTATTTTCTAGAAAGACTTTTTAACAATCATACAATACACCTGATACAATTCTGAAGCCCACATTTGGTAAAGAAGAAATCAGATTTTCAAATTCACTAAAACTTGGAAATTTTACCACTAGATGGCCTTATTACTTAATATTAATTCAAATATAACCATAGCTTTCAAGAACTGATTTAATATCTATTGAACCATTCAATATTTGAATTATCTTTGCTTTCAAAGTAAATTGTAGATTGCTAATTTTAAATCAAATATGGATTTTAATAATACCAATTATGCACAGAAGGGGAAAAATAAACCTGTTTCATTTTGTTCACCATCAGAATTGGTAAGTTTAACAATAACAGTAAAAAATGCTGTGTATATATACCATTCCATGCATTCTGCCTCTAGTCCCACTTGTAAAGAAGGCAAATTAGAGCTACTGGAGCTACTTGTGACTGTCTTAAAATAAAAACTTAAAATTATTTGTAACTCAAGTTACTGACCTCCAAATTTACTAGAATTTATTTCCTTATTTTTATAATTATTGGGGAAAAATCAACTCCAGTTTGTAAGTAAAAGATAAAACCACTCACACATAAGTACTTGCACATGGTATCTGGCAAGTTAATTTACAAACAATCTCAGGTGATTTTCAAATTTGGTGACATTTACTTCTATGTCATAATCAAAACGGACTTCCAAAACTTCTTTGCCTCAAACATTTAAGCACTGCCAGTTTCAAGTAAAATAATAATAAATCTCTCTAAATCACTCTGACACTTTTGAAATGATAACAAAATATAGGCAAAGAAGTGATGCTTCTGGGGAAATAGGGCTGAAACTGTATAGAAAGAACACTCGGATGACTTTCTACAGATTCCTGGTAAAGCATCAGAGATAGCTCTGCATACACCTGTCAGAATAGTTAAATCATCATCTGTTTTCCAAACACGCGATAGGACCTAAGGCACTATGTGAGGAAAGAAGTCTTCAAAGTTCCTATCTGTTTTTTTTTTTTTTTTTAGTGTTTTGAAAAACTGATAGTAATGCCTACCCCAGCTTGAAGTCCTTATTATCCTTTTTGTGTCTCACTACAAAAACATCCACTTGCAAGAACTTTCATGTGAAAACAAAGAGGATGTAAACATCTTACACAGTGTCTGTGTACCTTAAAGCTATTAGAGGTTTCACATTTTATAAAGCACATGTAATCTGACATATGATCCAATAGCTGGACAAAACTTGAGACCAAGTTTGCTAGATTTTCTCATCTTTTCATTGTAGGCTTTGTCCCTAGGTGATTTCATCCACATCCAAGGCTTCCCTTAACCACAGAGAGCTTCTCACTGGCATCTCCCCTCACAGATGGCTCAAAAGTATTTCAGATGCAGTGTTATGTTAACCAGGGCCCATACTTCTCTTCCCTTCCCTGGGCTCAATCACACCCCAATCTGATATATTACAAGATTGGGTTCTCTCATTCAGCTAGGGACTTTTTTAGGCTATAAAGTCTAGACTGAGGAAGGGAGAGAGATCAGATACCCAACTGTTCATGCTCCCTCTCTAAAAGAGCTCCCTACCCTAAGTTTGTCAGTCAGTTTCTAATTCTTCCAGAGGGAGCAAAAAGAAAGGAGTGGTTGGGAACAGAAAATCTCCTTTTGAACCTGCATTGTCTGAGCTCTCTGTGCCTAGCAGATGCTTAAAGATAATTCATTCATCTTAGGGGTGGAGATGCTTATGCCTCTAGGTCCCTTGATCAAAGGAGATGCATCTCTATTTTGGGTGACCTGTGACCCCTCCTGTGGCCTCAAGATTTAGGGTAGGAAAACAGCACTTCCCTCACCATCCTACTCCAATAATTAGGGAACAGCAATGTCTTCCTTTTCCTTTGGATGTGTGCATATGATATCTGGCCTCTTACTTTGGGATTTCACATCTGTATCTCAGTGGCTACACTAAACAATTTTAACCACCTGTTCCTTAAGTATGGTACTTACTATTTTTTCAGGCTACTGAGTGAGCCAACAAAGAGGCTTCAAAAATATATACAACTTAATCCCTGCTCTCAGAGAGCTGAAGTGTAATACAAGGATGCTTATTAAAACAACATTTTTTAAGAACCAGACTCTATTTTTAGATTTCAGCTTTAAGTTTATAAAAATGAAACAGTCTCCAGATCATAAAGGTCTAGTATGTGCAGTACATGTGAAAAGTTTGGCCTTGGTTTTTTTCACCACTGTATCATCATCCTTGTCACTATTATTTAAAAGCTCAGACTGAATAACATCCACAGTTTCTAATTCTAAAACTGGAGAGTTGGGGAGGGGGGGTATATCAAACCAAAGAATACAGGGTAAATTTTCATGGGGGTAAATACCCCACCTACTAAATTCTTGTAAAGAAAGGTCAAGTTCTATTTGGTGACATCAGATAAGGAGTTTTGATTATCGTGACAAAGTAGGGACAGTGTGAGAAGGAGTGGAGAAAGGGGAAGAAGACTTACTTAAGCATATGAATTTAGTATAGGTATATATGTAGAGCAAAATGGTAATTCAACAGCCACAGTCCTTAATTTATTAGTTAAAAAAATTTCCAAATCAACTGAATTCAGATTTCATCTTTCCATAGAAATGAGAAACATAATGGTGAGTTGAACATCAAGCTTTTGTGGGCTTATTTTGAATTAGTAACTGAAGAACAGTATTGCATTTACTGTATCAATCCTATCAAACTGTCCATGTAAATATGCACTCAAGTTTCAACTTCAGATGACCAGAAGAACTCTCTCCTCAATGAGCAAGGACCTCTCCTGGGTAGAGAGCAGGGTCTTTACCAATTCAAATCAATAGCAAAGGTTCCCATGGCCTATGAAAATCATTTGACACATACTTTAAGAACTATGAAGAATCCTAGCTTCTAACATCAGGGAACAAAACCAGGATGATTTAATAGAGGAGAATTTCTTTAAACATGCAACTTTCCATAAAAACCTAACTTCATTTTTAAAAAGAAAAATCCCTTAAAAGTCAATAGAATAAGTGGTCCTAAGTGTTTAACAATGGGATTTTTATAACATATTTATAATCAATCTTAAAATGTAAAATTCAGTAAAATTATTAGAATAAAGAATGGGGTTAAGGGAGACATTTAATAATTTATCATGGTATGTACATGCATGTTCATAGGAACATTATTCACAAGAGTCAAAAGACAGAAGGAGCCCAAATGTCCATCAACAAATAGGTAAGAAAGAAGTGGTTTATCCACACAGTGGTCATAAAAAGGAATGAAGTATTGACACATTCTGTATCATGGATGAACCTTGAAAACATGCTGTGGGAAAACAGCCAGTCACAAAAGGCCACATACTATATGATTCCATTTATGTGAAAAGCCCAGAAGAAGCAAATCCATAGACATGGGGAAGTAGATTAGTGGTTGCCAGAGGCTGGAGGAAATGGAACGTGTATGGTATCTCTTTCTGGGGTGAAGAAAATGCCCTGGAATTAGACAGTACTGATGGTTTCACAACTTGTGAATGTAACTGGAAGTCAATGAATTATACACTTTAAATGGCTAAAATGGTGAATGTCTTGTGAATTTTACCTCA